AGCCCAGGAGTTGGAGGTTGCTGTGAGCTGTAATGCCACGGCACTCTACCCAGGGGGACAGCTTGAGGCTCTGTCTCAAAAAAAAAAAAGAAGTTAATTGTCGGTGGTGCCTGTGGCTCAGTGAGTAGGGCGTCAGACCCACGTACTGAGGGTGGCGGGTTCGAACCCAGCCCCTGCCAAACTGCAACAAAAAATAGCCTGGCGTTGTGGTGGCATCTGCAGCCCCAGCTACTAGGGAGACTGAGGCAGGAGAATCTCCTAAGCCCAAGAGCTGGAGGTTGCTGTGAGCTGTGACATTACAGCACTCTAACAAGGGCGACAAAGTGAGGCTCTGTCTCTAAAAAAAAAAAAAAAAGGAAGTGGTGGTGCCTGTGGCTCAAAGGAGTAGGGCGCTGGCCCCATATGCCGGAGGTGGCGGGTTCAAACCCAGCCCTGGCCAAAAACTGCAAAAAAAAGAAGTTAATTGTATTCCCTGGGGCAACAACTAAAAAAATAATACAGCTTTCTAAAGGACTCAAGAAAAAGGCCATGTACAGTTTGAATGGAAAGCCTATGAAGCTCAATGGTGAAAAGATGGACAAGTTTGAATCTTGCATCCCTCACGCACTTTTTTTTTTTTTAGGTAGGAAAAGGATTTTGGAAATTTTTTTTTTTTTTGGAGCTAAAGCCCAAGAGTTTCAGGTTGCTGTGAGCTATGACATCACATCCTCTACTGGGGGTGACAAAGTGAAACTCTGTCTCAAAAAAAAAAAAAAAAATGAAGAGCCTGGTAATAATAATCACACAGATAAATACATAAAACAATATAAATGTATTTTTGTTTGTAATTTTTTTTTACTATCTGATTTAACAATAAATAATAAAATAATAATTATAGAATTATTTGATGGACATAATATATAAAGATGCAATTCTTATGATAATAATAGCACAAATGAATAGAAAGGAAATGGAGCTATATAGGAGCAAAGGTTTTGTACATTACTGAAATTAGGTGGTATTATTCTAGATTACATTGTTAAAGATTAAGAAGTTAATTGTCGGCTCGGCGCCTATAGCTCAACCGGCTAAGGCGCCAGCCACGTACACCTAAGCTGGCGAGTTCGAATCCCCAGCCCGGACCCGCCAAACAACAATGACGGCTGCAACCAAAAAATAGCCGGGCGTTGTGGCGGGCGCCTGTGGTCCCA